AGGCCGAGCCTCGCCCGATTGCGAGCGAGGCCGAGCCTTGCCGGCGTCGGGCGAGGCCGGCCTCGCCCGGCCCGGGCGAGGCCGGCTCGCCCGACGCCGCCGAGGTCGAGCCTCGCCGATTGCGAGTGAGGCCGAGCCTCGCCTCGCCGCGTCGGGCGAGGCCGGCCTCGCCCGGCCCGGCGAGGCCGCCCTCGCCCGACGCCGGCGAGGGCCGCCCTCGCCCGACGCCGGCGAGGCCGCCTCGCCGACGCCGGCGAGGGCCGCCTCGCCCGACGCCGGCGAGGGCCGCCGCCCGACGCCGGCGAGGGCCCCCTCGCCCGACGCCGGCGACCTCCGCGCCGGCCCGGCCATGGCCGGCCGGCGGCCGCGGAGGAAGAAAAAAATTAAAATATAAATTAAAATTTTAAAAAACGAAACAAGGAAAAAGACAAAAAGAGAAAAAGGAAAAACAGAAAAGGAAAAGGAAAAGAAAAAGAAGAAAAACAGAAAAGGAAAAACAGAAATGAAAATAAAAAAAATTAAAAAAATACTATTCTTATGATAGAACATTATTCAATATAAATTGTGATTAAAATGTAAATTGTACTCAAATTTGGGGACAAAAAGACAAGAGAGAAAGAGAGGGCTTCAACTTAATAAATTATCATTAAGCACATTACAATTCGTTACAACGATCTTAAAAAAAAAGGAGTACAATATATATACCCTAAAATTATCCCAAAACCTAAGCATTCCGTGCGCAGGGGACCAGAGGTCACATATCGTCGGATTATATTTCGGTTTCCCTAAGCTCACGTGGGCGTACCCGGTATGAGAAACAAGAGTTCCCGAAATATTTGCCAACTCCAATAGTTCTTTTACCCTCAATCGTCACTACCCGTTCCTGTACCGATAGTGGTAGCGGTAGTATCTCCGTCGTTAAAGAATTCGGATTCATTATTCCGATCTATCTCTTGTTGCCGGTATTGAGCCTTCGTCCAATCAGCAACACAAGCTTGCATCTCCACTGATTCTGGATATAATCTTGAACGATGTTCGTTCAAAATATTACCTCCGGCACTAAATGCTTGTTCGACCGCAACTGTGGAACAAGGGGTTGAAAAAATCTGTTTTGCAATAAGAGAAAGGATTGGGTATTGGCTTGCGTGCCTCTTCCACCAATCCAAAATAAAAAAATCTGTACCACCTTCGGCTTCAGTAAACTCAAATAAAATGGTTAGATAACTCTCTAATTCAGAAATATTTCCTATTACTCCCTTTTGTTTTTTTTGTCTATGTAATAAAAGTTGGTACCCTCTACTAATTTTACCTATACTGTCATTTTGTATCTCCGTAGATTGAGAAGATCTAATATCACCTAAATTATATTTAGTATAAAATTCATTATATAATTCTATTACTACGTTTTTAACCTCACGTACTATGGTTGTAACATTTGTCACATCATAATGTAAACATTGATAATACGCAGGCAAAAAATCATTTAAGCCATCCAATTTGCAACGCGGATCAAAAACACAAGCAACTAAATAAATCATGGGAATTTCACTATAATAATGAAGCCATTTCATTTTCATTGCAACTATAGTATGTTGTAATTCAACATCATTTTCATATTCATCAAAAGTTCCGACAATATTAGTACACTCTACTAAAAATAAATGTGTAGTAGGATAATAAACACCAGACAAAGTATAAGTTGCATCATTAAAAACCTTTAAAAGATCTAAATTTTTTTGGCAAATATGCCACTCTTGTGGGTATAAATTAATCTCAGGTATATTATTAGAAATGAATGAACATAATAAATCTTTATATGCTAAAGATTCACTAAGCAAGTGGAAAGTAGAATTCCAACGAGTTGGAACATCTCTTGGAAATCTTTTTGGCTTTTTGCCATTATCTCTACAAAATCTACCCCATTCTTTCATTTTTTTGGGATGTTTCCATAAAAATTGAATCGCCGTTTTTATTGGTTGAAGAAAAATATCAAGAGTTTTCAAACCATCTTGTACACATAAATTTAAAACATGACAAGCACATCTAATGTGAAAAAATTTTCCGCCAAAAGCGGGTTTACAAATATTTTCTAACTCGGCAATTGAAGCGGTATTTGCTGCGGCATTATCAAAACCAATTGAAAAAATTTTGTTAAGCAAATAATATTCTTCTAAAACTTGCCTAATTAGTCTATAAATATTATTTGCCGTATGATGATCATCGAAAACTCTAAATGCAATAACTCTTTTTTGAATAGTCCACTCGTCATCTATCCAATGACATGTTATGCCCATGTAAGAATGATTTTGCCAATGTTCACTCCAAATATCACTACCTATATGCACGCATCCATTAAATTGCATAAAAAAATTTTGTAAATCATTTTTTCCATTTTTGTAAAGATCTTTAATTACTCGTTTAGTTGTATTTCTAGAAACACGTTTTGCTTGTGGAGCACATGCTTTTTGTACAAATTCATTAAAACCAAATCTTTCTCCAAAATTAAATGCTAAATGCTCAACGGAAATAAATTTGCCTAATTCTTCCTTATAAGTTTTTTCATTAAAACGAAATAAAGGGGAAGTGTTAGGATTGACGTACCCGGAAATTTGTTGTTGCCCGATATCGATTCCCGTTTCGGTTGGATGTTTGCTCATAAGATGTCATTTAAATGTTCCATATCCTTGTCCACCTGTATATTTATATATTTTTCCACAATATTTACAAATTATATCATACCTTTTTTGACCGATATCAAACCTTTCCATTTTCGTGAAGTGATTCCAAATGTCGGATGTAAATTCCCGTTCCACTTCCTTTGTTGTAGATATTTCAGCAGGAGGATGAAAACTTTCTTGCGTCGGGACGCGCTCCACATCGTGAAAAATGTTGATTTCATCATCTTGAAAATCTGCATATTCACGAGGATCAAAAGAATGATGGGATTCCGTCGCGATATTCTTACCTTTGCCAGTTGGCACGCGACTTCCACTTGCCATTTTTCGAATGGATTGAGAGAATTGAGCGGATTAATTGGGAGAATTAAGAAAGAATTGCGTGGATTGAGAAAATTGAGAGAATTTCAGAGAATTTGAGAGAATTTCGAGTATTGAGAAAATTTGAGACTTGAGAGAAGAGAATTGGAGAGAATTTGAGAGAATTGTGTGTGTATTGTGAGAATTTGAGAGAATTTATAGAAAAAAAATAGAAGAAAATTTAGAATTAAAAAAAATAAAACATAACCGTTGCAAAATTGCAACGGTTATGTGTTTTTTTTTTTTTTTATTATAAAAACGCCCGTTGGGGCGTAGCCGTTGCCCCAACGGGCCGCAGCCGCAAGGTGCTGTGGCGCAGCAGGGCCTGCACGTCTGCAGGCCCTGCTGCGGATAAATAAATTTTTTTTTTTTTTTTTGGTTGGGCCGTTGGCCCGTTCTCCTGCAGGCTGCTGCAGCGCTGCAGCATGGCCTGCACTGCAGGCTGTGCTGTAGCCTGCAGCTTTTTTTTTTTTTTTTTTTTTTTTTTTTTCGCAGAACCGGCCCGGAACCGGCGGTTCCGGGCCGGTTCAAATTTTTCTGGAACCGGAACCGGGACCGTATGCCACGGGCCGGTTCCGGTTCCGAACCGCGGGCCCGGTCAACGGGCCGGGCCCGGGTTTGACCGAGCCGGTTCTGGTCCGGTTCCGGGCCAAAACCGGCCCGTGGCCACCTCTAGTTTATATGGGGATAGAGTCGAGTTCATCCTTGTGTCCATAGGATGATAGTATGTTCTGAGGCTTTATCGGTTTCCAAAAATTTGGAAAATGTCAGCGACAAAAAAAGTCAAGGACGAGCTGATTGTGTCTAGGTACATAAACAATGAGAAATGGAAAACGAAATATATTTGTCGTTCATGGGACACCTAAGTCAAGACCGTATCAGCCCCGGGATGGAGACTAGACTTGGACCTGAGAGTGACGCGAGCAATGACGACATTGAGCCGCCTCTCCCGACAAAAAATCAGGTGGTCCGGGACCGCCAAGTCAGCGTGGTCCCGGACCGCTCATGAAGCGCCACGTGGTCCACGTGGCGCTTGTGGGACCGGCTCGCCCGGATGAAAATTTTGCACAAAAAAAATTATATTCATTATTTCTCCTTAGCCGTGCACGCTAGCCCCTCTCTCTCTCTCTTTCTCCTCTGCACGCATTTATTTCTTCTCTCTCTTCTTCTTTCTCCTTCGTTTTCGCATTGAAGAAGAAAACCCACCGCCGCTCTTTCCTCTCTCGCTTTCAAATTTATTTTGAATCTCTGCGATTTCGCTCTCAGATTTGGCTCGGCTTCCTCGTTGCTCCGGCGCTCCCTCCGTGGCGTTGTTGCTGCTCCGGCGATCTTTCGCTCTCTGCGCAGTGCCACACCGTCGAGAAAGGCGCCAGCCACAAGCAAGGTTCCCCTCTTCTCCTCTTCCCCCGCGCCTGGATTCTTCGTCGATCCATTTTTTTTGTGTGCCCGCGTTGAGCGGTTTTGATTGGTCTTTTTCTCTTACTTTTCTCTTTGTTGGTGGTGGGTTCGGTACAAAATGGGGCCCTTCTGGTTTTTTTGCCACCATTGTTACTGCAAATGAACGCAAACCCAAGCATTGATGCTCTGTTCTGAAGGGGCTGCTGGTTAATTTGCTTCGTGCTCTCGTTTGATGGTTTGAAGGGATGATGACTCCGAGCCAAGGGCAAGCGGCATTGCTGACATTCTGCTCCTGCATTAGCCTCACTAGCGTTGGCCTTGTTCTTACAGACTGTTCCGGACATTGGTAACAACTGGTTTTGGATCATTGCATCGAGCCCCTTAGCGTTAGTGAAGATTGTTTTTCCTTGAAGAGTCCGATTTATAGCGTTCCTCATTTCTGAAGAACAAAAATCATCTGTGAATATGCTGAACCCTTGATATGATATTTTGCAGTGGAGCACACTATTGGATGCGGGCATCGTGGAAGGAGCAAATTAAGGTAAAGATGATAGTGGCGGAAGATCGTTGAGCAGACGAGGAAGGAGCTTTAGCTCAGTGAGAAGGGAATGGTTTATGTAAAGGGCATATTTGAGAGATGACCAACACCCCAACACTTCTGATGGGGTGTTGGTCATCCAACGCTCGAAGCAATACTTACTGCAGGGGCATGCTATTACTAGGAAGCTTAATTCTGATGGTAAGGTGAATATAATGCAGACTCTGCACAACCTAAATGAAGATATTGAATTTTCTTGTTTGTTAAATGCCGGATTCCCAAAAAATGGTTCATTCATATAGCTCATGACTATCTAGATGAGCTGCCTCAATTTGAACAAGCCTGGAAGAAAAATGCTAGAAAGCATTTGCCTGGTTGGAGTGAGCATTTTGATGGCCATGTTGGACGGGGTGAGTATTGCTGCGAGATTTTTTTTTTCCGGCTGCATCTTTTGTGTTAATGACTAGCAAAGCATGAATGTTTCCTTACCAAAAAAAAAAAAAAAGCATGAATGTTTCAATTTCTTACTACTGTTAGAGATAGGCTGAATTCTGTGGTGAATTTGTTTTGCTGTTAAAGGCCTTAGCGTAATAATCTCAACATTTTGGTTGAACGTTTCATCACTTGTCTTGTGAGGGTGGTGTTCTTGTTTCTAATATGCGCCTTTTGTTGGTGCCAGCCACAGTCAAGCATCGCCTTTGTCGGACAAGGATCATGAAGAGAGGGCAAAAAGATTTGAATTTGTGTCTGAGCTATTACGATCCACCGTCATCGACGATAATTTATGAGTAGGTGCAGAATGGTAGATGATCTGGAGCTTACGTGACCGAGAATCCGCCCCTACAATCTTTATGGTTGGCCTGGGGTGAATGTGTTGTTTGCTGATGTATTAAAATAGGAAGCAAGGGAATAAGGTTTATAAGCTAAAATGTAATTCTTTGCTTGTCGACTTTGGTTTTGACCCGAGGAAACAATGCTGTGCATAGCTCCTGTGTGATGCTTGGACTTCTCAAAAGTAACGATATTGAAGAACTTTTATTTACGTCTATGTACCATGTATTATTCATAAGCGCATCAAAGCACTGTTGAAAAAGCAAGGAATATTGAGTGAGAATCGCCAAATTTTACTGTAGTTAGGACTTGGAAGTAATAGGAATGGAGTGGGGGTAGGATTTTCATGGCACCAGGCATCGCATCCAGGCATTGTTATACTCATTGAAGTGGAAAGATATCATCAGTCAATGATAGTCTCACCTGATGATATCTTCCACTGTTTCCAATGACCAAAATAAGACCAAATCACAGTGTATAGGAATGAGAACATTCCTTGCCACATTTAAACTTCTGACTAGGTCCGAGTCCGAATTTACTCTCTGAGAAGTGAGTTAGCCACTCCTATGCAATTGAATTAGATGGACAAGAGAGAGAAGAATCGCCTGGGAAGAAAAAGGAAGTACTATTTAGATTGATTAACCCATCTCTTCCGAAAATAGGACCCCTTCAACCAAAAAACAAATATCATTGATGTAATCACAGAAAAATGGATCCTCTTGGGACCACGAACAGTTATCATTATGGAAAAAAATCCCCCTACTTCTCATCTAAATCCCCCCAAAAAGAAGGATGGACGTGCAAAAAATGGCAGCCCACGTTTATCAATTCGTAAAGACCTAAACTTAACCAACGTAGTGGTAGTCTTGTGTACATTATGTTTTGGGTTACATCTTTGACGAAAACATCAAAACATGTTGAGCAAACTCCTCTTATCAGAATTGTCTGTCCAGTTGCCATTTTGTCTATGTGGGAATAAAAGGATGGTAGAGGGATCGTGTAGACCTCGCTCCTCCTGTGCTCAAGGCCACAAGCAGCCAATACAGTATGAGTGGAACACCTCGCTATTTCCTTAAACTCACCATGACTTGCATCAACGATTATAACGATAAGTTCACAGGCAAGGCACCTTGCGCACCAAGGAAAAAACAAATGCAATAAGCACTTGAAAGAAAGCATCATAAAGAGAACAAGCACGGGATTCTGGAGTATAAAATGTATAATAATAGGACCAAAAATCTAGTAGAACATATATATAACTCGCATACCTAAATCAATTTGTCTCAAAAGGCTTTTCGAATGGCTTTTGACCATTGATTGCAATTCCTCTTTTGCTCTACGAAAATGGCTATCTTCACTTCCTGCATAAGGAGATGCAGCCCCATCAGAACCCAGGCTGGATCGGCTGCTGGACTGATGATGCTGGTCAGGAACTATAGTTGAGCTCATCCTTACACATTCGTCCAGAAGTGCCCGGCCAGAACTACTGGGAGTTCTTCTGGACCACCATCTCAAGCACTATGCGAAATTTCACCACTGTCTACCACCTGCAAGTCGCCGGACCACCGCCCACCCTCGATTATGACTCCAGAATGGTGCGTAACATACAAAATGGAATACCAGTAAAGTGCAGTCAAGTATCATAAAAAATCAGTATTCAAGAGTCCTCGATTCATGAGGAGGCACTGGACAGGACTCTAAAAGGATAAAAAAGGCATATTGAACCACGGCGACAAAAAACGTTAGTGAAAGATCATTAAGCGAACCCGATCCCCACGCACTCGAAGCGACTCAAAATCGGACCTTGGTTCAAACATTCTGTCAAACACATGGTGCACAGTGGACGTTCGAGCAATTAAAAATTTGAACGCACACCAAGACTTGAAAGAGACCATCAAAACACACTTGTCCAGCGACATACAGCCATAACAAGTTCAAATTCAATCAACTCAGAATTAAAATTTTCCATCTTAAAAGGATTGAAGAGACCATCAAGGCGTGGAGTTCGATCAAGGCGTGGAGTTCGATCTGAGGGAGGAGGATCTGAGGAACAAGAGCCCCCTGCTCTTGAAGATGAACTCGATACACAATCAAATCCCCGTCCTCATCCACGACGGCAAGCCCGTTTGTGAGTCCCTCATCATAATCTAGTACATCGACGAGACCTGGGGTCGCGAGTCTCCTCTCCTGCCATCGGATCCTTATGAGCGTGCCCATGCCAGGTTCTGGGCTGACTACGTAGAGAAAAAGGTAAGATTTTTAGCGAGGCCTTAAATCTTTCCGACATTTCCTTATGAAGTGCGCTTAACATCAAGACACCAAATGATGGTCCAGATATTTCTGGGGGTGCGAATGGTGTGGCTGTCGACAGGGGAGGCCCAGGAGGCGGCGAAGGAGTTTGTCGAGTGCTTGAAGGTGTTGGAGGGAGAGCTAGGGGACAAGGCTTACTTTGGCGGCAAGAGGTTCGGGTATGTGGATGTGTCGCTGATACCGTTCTATAGCTGGGTCTATGGTTTGGAGACATTGGCCAACTTTAGCATCGTGGAGGGGTGCCCCAAGTTGGTGGCATGGGCCGAGCGTTGCATGCAGAGGGAGAGCGTGGCCAAGTCGTTGCCCAACCAGTACAAGCTCTATCACTTCTTCTTGGCGGTCAAGAAAAAGCTTCAGGTGCCATGACAAACAAGTCTATGAGTTTGATCGTTGCTCATTTCATCACTCTTTCGTTAATGACCCCTCTCTTTGGATGAGGCTAGCTCTTTTGTACTTACTATGATTTCCTCTTTGTACTTCAGTGTTGCTGGATCAGCTATATAACTAATACACATCATCTCACGAATTCCATTTAATTATGTTTTGTGTTATATGCACCATCACGTCAAGTAAGCAAGGAAAATCGATCAATTCCATTGTCAATTACACGTAGTAGTCTCACGAGAGAATATCTCCTCTTTCAAAATATTTTCAATAACAAATCCTCCATAAGACAACAAATCTATTTAGCACGCGTTGAGCGTTCACTCGATAAATGAATTTCACTTGGCTTACTAAGCCGCCTCCACATGGATTGCTAAAAATATGCCATGCTTCCTTATTTCTCTCTTGCGCCGCTCCTGCACAGGACACCCACGACATATTTGAGACACATACAATGAATGTCAGTTGGACTCTTATCACATGGATGTCCTCTATGAAGAAATTTAAAGCAAAGCCAACACTGGAGGAGGTCTACATGATGATGATGATGATGATGATGATGATGATGATGATGATTAAGATGCCGAGGAATTTGCATTGAAACTTGAAGAATCTCTTTCTTCTTCGGGGATCGTCACCGAAACACTCGTCAATGGGCGGTTTGTTACTTGGCCATCTAATTACGACTCCCCAACAACGCAGAGTTAAAACTTTGTGTAATGAACCAGTTGAAGACAAACTCCGAGAGCATATGATTATAAACTCGGAGGCCTCGAGATCCAGAGAAGCTTGAGAAACAGAAGAAGGCCGAATTGAGACGGAAGATGTTGCTGGCAAACCTGTAATGTACCCATGACCTTGACCAAAACCTTCCCTTCCACTAAAATAACTACCTCAGCAGGACATGAACTAGTATGCCTTACTTCTGGGCGACAGATTCACCTGGCAGTCCAATATGAAGAGAAGAAAACAGGGTCTAGCGAAAGCGGAAGCAAAGTCCTCTACTCTACGCTCATCGCCTCGTTCAGCTCCAAGACCACGCCATCCACCTTTCAAGGGTCGGAGAGAGATTTGGACACACTCTCCTTCTCCATGCACCTCTTGCCTCACGCAACGAGCTTGGGATACGCTGCTTTGATGCTGAAGTTCCCAAACGTTTCGTAGGAGTAGAACCAGCGGTAGAAGCCGATGAACGAGATGTCTAAGAAGCCGAACTTCTTGCCCCTGAAGAAAGGCTCGTCTCCGCTCTCACTTTCTATTAGTTTCAGGCTTTAAATGAATTCCTTCTTTACCGCCTCCTGTTCTTCCCCTTTTGTCACCCACACCTTCTTGATGGGGTGTATTGCTAATCGAATTAGAACGATCACGCAGAGAATAGAAAAAAAAAATTAAATGATGCACGAGTTTACCCAGGTTCACCCCCGAATAGGGTTACGTCCTGCAAAGGGATTCCACTATGATTTTTAGGGTTTACAACCACAACCTCTCATTACAATGATCTCTCATACGAGTACAATATATATAGGACTTAAATGGGCCCAAAGCCCAAATATATCAAAATCCCTTTGATCCCATAGCAAACGGGCCAGCAAACCTGATGTTGTTTCGGGGGCGCTGCCCCCGAGCCCCTGCCTACTCACCAGTGAGCGGGGCCGCCATCCGCTCACCAGGGAGCGGAACCTCCGCTCGCTGTCTGGTTAGCGAGACCCCCGTGTCGAGGGTGTTGCCCCCGAACCCCTGCATTCCGTGCATAGGGGTCACATGTCGTCATATCATACTTCGGTTTCCCTAAGCTCATGTGAGCATGCCCAGTATGAGAAACAAGGGTCCCCGAAGTATTCGCCAACTCCAACATTCTCTCACTTGGTGGATACTTCATGCAAATGAGAGCCTTTCCAACACCACTTCTCTTCAATCCAATCGCAGCAGAGCACCATTCAAACTTCGCAACCGTGACAGCTTTAGTAAGGAAGTCTGAACTATTTTTCACAATGTCGATCTTTTCAAGCCGATCCACTTTCTTCTCCACCTTCTCTCGGATAAAGTGATGTTGAATGTCGATGTGCTTTGTATGTGAATGAAATGCTGGATTCTTAGCTAAATAAATAGCCCCTTGATTGTTGCATCTCACCTCCACGGCACCTTGCTCAAAACAAAGCTCCAAGCACAACCGTCGTAGCTATATCGCTCTTTTCCGGCATGAGTAAGAGCCATGTACTCAACCTCCGTAGAAGAGAGCGCTACCACGCTTTGCCTCCTACTCATCCAACTCACCGCAGCCCCAAATAATGTGAAAACATATCCGCTAGTGGACCGTCTACTATCAATATCTCCACCCAATCTGCATCTACCTGGCCTACGATATTGGTGATGTTTCCATTCCCTGTACCTTCAAAACATAAAGAAAAATTCCAAGTTCCACGAAGATACCTGAAAACCCTTTTTATTGCATTCCAATGTTCTCTACCCGTGTTGGACATATATCGGCTCAAGACTCCCACTGCTTGGGCTATATCCGGACGCGTGCACACCATAGCGTACATCAAGCTACCCACTGCACTTGCGTACAGAACTCGGGCCATCTCTTCAGTTTCCTCATCCGTTTTAGGACACTGTTCCACATATAATTTGGTCCCTAAAGGTATGGGGGTACCAACAGGCTTGCAGTCTATCATGTTGAATTTCTTCAACATTTCTTTAATGTATTTCTCTTGCCCTAGCCGTAGCTTCCTTTCCCGCGGTCCCTCGTAATCTGCATACCCAAAATAAAATTTGCAAGCCCCAAATCTTTCATATCGAACTTCCTAGCCAACAAATTTTTCACGGATTTCACCATCTTCACGCTATTCTCGATTAAAAGCATATCATCCACGTATAGCGTGAGAATGACAAATTGATCGCCCGCCCTCTTCACATAAACGCAGTGGTCAGAATTTGAACGCACAAAATCAAGCTGGAGCATGTATATATCAAACTTCTGGTACCATATCCTCGGTGACTGTTTCAGCCCATATAGGGACTTTTTCAGTTTGCATACCAGATTCTCCTTTCCTTTTGCTTCAAAGCCTTCTGGTTGCCTCATATAAATCTCCTCCTCCAAATCCCCATGAAGGAAAGCTGTTTTTACATCCATTTGTTCCACCTCAAGATCGTATGCAGCTGCTACGGACAGAACAAACCGTATCGAGGTCAATTTCGCCACTGGAGAGAAAACCTCGTCATAGTCAATTCCCTTGATCTGAGAATACCTCTTGGCCACGAGCCTTGCCTTGTACTTCTCCACAGTCCCATCCGGTTTCAGCTTTCGCTTGAACACCCATTTGCACCAAATTGCCTTTTTATCCTTAGGCAATTTACATAAGCTCCATGTCTCGTTTTGATCAAGCGACTGCATCTCATCTATCATTGCGAGCTCCCACTGATTCGCGTCATCCATGGATCTCCCCTCTTTTACAGAACTAGGATCATCTCCGGTAATGCTTAAGGCATGAAACGTACTCAATGCACTAAGTGAGTACCGAAGTGGTTTCCGCCTTTCCTGTGTTGATCTCCTGAGGACCGGCATGCTATTAGTGTCCGGGTCTTCATCCAAATCTACATCCTCAACTTCATTAACCAAGTCCCCTTGCTCCAGATCAGAATCAGACTTTGCTGGTATATCTTGTGGAGCCATCTCCATAGTTTTAGTCTTAGGACTTTCTTCAAGCACTACCACTTTCA